TGCTTAAGAAAAGTTATGTTTTCAGTACACAGCTGGAAACACTAATTTACCACAGAAACACGTATCAAACTAACAACATGTCTTTATCCATGCTCTCAAAATATTAAAGCATTGTGAATAGGGCCTACTTCGTAGAAAGGTAAAAAGTCATGAATATATATGCTGCATATTACCAAATCTATTTAAGGTTATTTCATGCATTCTGTTGGTATAGAAACCAATAAAACAAATATCAAATAAATAGCGTGTCTTTATTTGTACTCTCAGAAAATTAAAGCATTGTAAACACTTCACAGAATTGTTAAAAAAATTAAGCAAAGATAGGCCTATGCTTCCTACTACTAAGGTAATTTCGGTCGATGCCATTTTGTCTACTTCGACTCACACGCTAGCAGCCAACTATCGGGTGGCCTGTCCGACCTTCAGTCCACCAAATACCGCGACGCTCTTGTCGACCCTTTTTTCGCTCCAAAAAGAAACTGGTATGTGCTGCTTTGGACAGAATGTCACTGAAATTTTCCGGGCGATGATTGCTGGCCGCGGCCAGCCTTTCGTAAAATTGTAAAAGGGTGATATCTCCATGTCCAATATCAATGGCAAACCAATCCAAAACGACGGCCCCCGTTCTCTTTATGACTTTAATTGTCGTGTATTTTGAAATTAATGCTAGAGATGAAGTTGACGGCAAAACGGCCATATTTCCATGTGGTGATAATACGCATGCGCAGAAAGCTCATTTTCCACACTCGGAACTACTCGGATGTCTCCGCAGTCGACAATGACAGTATGGAGCTTGCGGAATTAGCAGAGAATTGCCGATTGCATTTTCCGGCAAATTCCATAACGATGTTTGCGACAACCGACTTCCTTTGGGGGGGGGGGATTTTTTTTTTTTTTTTTTTTTTTTTGGAGAACGGACGAAAATCGGTGCGCGCGCAGGATGTCATCCATAAAATTAAAAAAGTGTGGCCTTAGTCCGTGTTAACTCTTCAGGCATGAAGGATATGAAAAAACATAATACTACGGAGAGAGTTTAAACGTAAAGAGTTCTCAAACATTAAATATCTTCATTTTCTCCTCTTTCTCCTACACGTGTTATATTTACTCCATTCCTTTCCACCAAGTTTAGAGAATAGAAGAATGTCGATCGGACAGCAGTTTAAGGGTCCAGAGCTTTAGTAATAATAATTTCAGACAGTAGTTATCATTTCTTCACAGTCCGAGCCCGCGTCTGTTCCGTAATCCAGTTTGTACCGCACTCGGTTGCCCTTTCTGTGCTCTACCGGTGAGGTCTTGGTGTGGTTTGGCTGGGACGGACCAGCGTCTGTGTCCTAATGACGAGAAATATAATTCAAAATGTTTATTTTTAATGCTCATAATTTTCAGTATATTACACATATGATCAGACACCCTTAAAATAAAGGTTACATTTAGAGGAAAATGCAGTCAAGCTTTGTGACACACACACACACACACACACACACACATACACACACGTCATTTAGACGGTATTTAATTTGGACGGCAGACGTGAACAAACTAACAAACTAGTCGTGAACACGGACGTCGAAATAACGTCTTCTTGGGCCGACTGAAATACTTCAATCTGCTAGGTCAAATTGCTATTTTCTCAAATAGTCGTTTTCATCCCAATAATTACGTCAAGTTTATACACCGTAGCTTCCACGTTGTTACCACGCTGTCACTTCGTATCAACAGTGTGGTATCAACCTGTTGTGCTGGCTAGGGTGATACTGGGGACAAAAAGGATAAGAACATCGTACATATTGATAGTGCATATATCCCAATTTAAGGAGAGTTGGTGAAAGGCACACCTGTCGGTCGTAATGCAAATTCTCAAACGATTTCTAGCAAAAAGCCCCTCTCACAGTAAGCAACCTAGCTTTTATAGAGGTTATACAGTCACCTGGTTAAATTACATTAAAGGTCACACGACGACCTGCTGGACAACAGTTAATTAAATTAGGGGTCACTCAACCACCTCCACATCCTCCTAGGAAGTGCCCAGTTCAACTGGCTTCAAAAACACAAAGGCAATGAAATTCAGAAATAAGATCATACCTGTACGGATATGGAAGTTTTCATAAATGTATTAAAAACGTTAAGGGGTCCCTGACAAAATGATACGGGCCATTTTTCTCGTCAGGAGCAAAAGTGAGCTTTTTATTCGAGCTCTACAGCCTTATCCGTTTGAGTTTTTAAAGACAAACAAACAGATCAGTAGAAAAATACAAACAAAAAACGAATAAATAAATAAGTAAATAATAATAATAATCTGTATGCGCGCATGTAGGGCCTACTCTTCCGACATGGACCCCACTATACTCACCGGTTCTGATCCCATTTGTTCTGAGCGAAGGGAGTCCACTGAAGGGCGGGGTGAAGTATCATACCCCTGCATGGCCAGGTTTTTACGTCGACGCCGTTCCCTGTAGTAACTTCGTACCTAAGACAAACAATATATACCAATCAGAATTTAATCCCTAAACACATATTCCATAATACCAAAGATTTTAGAGAAGGTGATGGCGATTGCGAGGGTTTGTCGAGAGAGAGGGCAATTTTTGAGCAAGAACTTGATATGAAAACCATTGTCTTGGACAGAGGGCTTGAAAGAGGAAAAAAGGGGAATCCAAATCTATTCCTAATGTTTGTATTGGCATGTAACCAAGCAAAACGCTGCGTTGTTGTATGTAATTACCAAAATGCCCAGGTAATAAAACAGTTTGTTGACGAATGACGGCTCTTTTTGTACCTTCATGGTATTCTTTTTCCTTATTAAAACTGGTAACGGTTAACCACGTGCACCTGTATCCTCTTTTCTCAGAAGTACATATATTAAGTGACCACTCAGGAGGTACAAAGCCTCATGCCGACGTCGAAATGCTGTTTTGGTATCGAAATGACGTTGTGTAGTCTGTAGGCCTACCTTATGGGTATAGTTGGGCAAGGTGCATATAGGTTTACTTGTTAAAGTCGACTGCAAAACAGCGAGTGTGTCTTTCCATGTGCCCTTAATA